TGGCATGATTTTCAGCTAACAACGGGGTAGTTAGTTGATTCTTTCATTTGTTTTTTAGCACTCTCAGAATGCCATTTACCCAAGATGATGAGGCTTTGTCATTTTTACGAGGTGGCATAAATGATGAGTTTAGTATTAGTCATGCAGCTCCATGAGCTGACTTGCTTCAGAGTTGATCACTTGTCAAATAGCATAGTTTTCTTTCTGATCCTTCTTGGTGGCCAAGCATAGTGGATTCTTTCAGTCTGTTCCTGCCGTACATAGTAGTATCCATCATTAAAGATGCTCCACCCCTAGGTTCTTTGTACGTATGTATAGTTTCATCATGGTTTGCTTGCAGCTCACCTTTTTGGCTTTCACAGGTGAATCAAGGACTTACGGTTTATGGAAATAAGGGGAGCACGGATCAGCATGCGTGAGTTTACATTTTTCTTTATTAAGTGCAGCTCATCTATATCTTGATGCAAACTATTTGCGAGCCTGATGCGCCTGTTCGTGCAGCTACATCCAACAACTGAGAGAAGGCGTCCACAATTTCTTTGTGACATTCATTGAAGTATTACGCGATAGGCCTCCTGGTCATGATTGGGAGCTTGAGCCAGGCGTCACATGTGGGGACTACCTGTTTGGAATGCTACAGGTTTTATTATTATCTGGAGATGATATTTTAGTTTCATTGTTTTACAGCTTGCTCTCCTTTTAGTTCCTGTCTACCTATATCCACTTGAACGAGTTTTTACAGGGAACAAGGTCAGCTCTTTATGGTAACGACCGGGAGTCAATTACAGTTACTGTGCAAGAAGTGACACCTAGATCTGTTGGTGCTCTTATAGCACTTTATGAGAGAGCAGTTGGGATATATGCTTCACTTGTCAACATTAATGCGTATCATCAACCTGGTAAATAAATATGTTTATCCATCCTTGGGTCTGGAAGTGAGAAAGCTTTTCATCTTTGTTAACCCCTTTCATTTTATTCTTGGCTCAGGTGTGGAAGCTGGTAAAAAGGCAGCTGGAGAAGTTTTAGCTCTTCAGAAGCGGGTTTTAGCTGTACTCAATGAGGCCAGGTATGTTGTCAATTATTAGCAATCTAGCTCATTTTGTGTATAGGTTCTGAAATGTGTCGACTCCGCAATTCTGTGTGTGGTGGTCCTTGCAAATAATTTTGAGTTTGTCCAAAATTAAAGGAAAAAAGCTATTTGCTTTAGGAACAAAATTGGTGTCATCCACAGACATCCTTGTATCGAAATGCCTGACTTTGAGTGCAAAGTTCATACAAATATGGGTATGGCAGGGAAAAAAAGGTGTGTGCAAGGTGTTCCTGCAATACTTTTGAGAATGTGACAACAGATCATTATTTGGAACGATTCTTAGAAACAGTCCAGATCAAGTAGTTTTGTATTTTTACAAAATTAAAAGGAAAAAGGACAATTGCTATGGAACAAAATTGCTGTCACATCCTGGTGTTGAAATGCCTGATTTTGAGTGTGAATGTGTTTCAAATATGGAAAGAAAATATGTGGAAGGTTTTACCTGTTATCCTACTGAGAATATGACGACATTATCATTATTCGGAAAACAGACAAAACCCAGATGAAGGACCACCTCTACCATGCCACATAAACTATAGATGTGACTGGATTTGTCATTGTTTTTAATTTTCACCATTCACCACCGCCTTTCTGTTTTCAGCTGCAAGGAGCCTGTTGAACCGTTGACGCTTGAAGAAGTAGCTGACCGGTGCCATTCTCCCGAAGAAGTATTTCCAGTTTCTCAGTTTCATTCTTTTCTTTATGAAATCCCGTTTCAAAAATTAGATACTTTCTTTGCTAACCTTGTTACATAATTGCTTCAGATCGAAATGATTTACAAGATCATCGCTCACATGGCCGCCAACGACAGAGCGCTCATTGCCGAAGGCAGCTGCGGTTCACCACGGAGCATCAAAGTTTTCCTAGGGGAGTGTAATGTCGATGCGTTGTATGCTTAAGTTTGTTTTCTCCTGTATTGTGCATGTGTTTGAATTTTCACATCCGAAGATTTGATCTTCCTTCCCATTGTATCTTATCTCTTATTTGGCCAAGTTAGCTTGGAAATAATAAAAAATTATGTTCCGACATTTAGGAATAATAAGCTGGTTTATCAGAAATATTATATATAATATTGTCATAATCTTCAACCTTTGTCAACATTGTCTGCAGTGTGCAAACATTTTTTTTTTCTTCTCTTGATCAATGTTTATTTGATTATAGTAATAATAATAATAATAATAATAATAATAGCAGATATTCCAACACCCCAAGCACATGAATGTATTGATGGTATGATTGAGGGCCCATATGGTAATATACACTTATTATTCACAAACGCTTTTATTATAATGTCATACTTTTTGTTAAAATTTCAAGTGCTTTTTAAGTGTTAAGTGCTTCTTCAGAAATCTTTCGTATGTCTTATAAACACTCTAAAATTGTTTTGTCAATATCGAGGCTTAGGTTTGAGTCATGCTTCTGACAATTCCCTTTTTGTGGGTAATATGTACAAACATAAAAAGGAATTAAGGGATGGCGTAGCCTCCCCTCCCTCTAAACTTTTAGCAAGCAAAATAATTAAAAAAAATATTCTGTTAAATGCAAGCAAAATAATTAAAAAAAATATTCTGTTAAATGCAGTTAGAAACGTCATTGGCTAATTCATAAGTACTTTTAGAGTCCATTTTCAAATTTTCAAATTTTCAAAATGCTTTTTGAAAATGGTACTTGACGAAAAATTGACAAAATAAACGGCCTCAATAATATGGTCCAGCACACAGGCTGCAAAAGACAACAATGGATGATTGTGTGTTTGGGGCTGTGAGATTGAAATCCAATTTGTCCATGTCACTGTCCATCTCCAAGGCTCCAACTGTTGCCTACCCTGTTTTCATTATTATCAAACAGCACACGCCTAATAAATTCCTAATACTACTAATATTCATTGTCATTGTCTTAATTAAATAAGGTAGTTTGAAAAGTGCACCGCTGGAAAGCTTCATCTTTGATTTTTTTTCCTTATCAATGTATCCATCTTTTGTATATCTTTTGGAAAAAGGTATGTACAACTACTAGTAGCACTCAATCGAGTACGGACAATCCAAATTTTTTAGATATGACCTTAGGAGACTTTAACCATACACTATCCATATAGTCAAGATGCATATTATTTTCACTCTTGTTTTTGGAGATTTGCCGTATCGCTTACTAAATTAATATTTTGTATTCATATATGTGTAAAAGATGAGTCAATTATACTCTCAAGGAAATTGTTATCAACGCCTTGAAATAGTCATTGTGTACAAATTACTCCTATATACCCATTGTCTCGCTCTTAATATAATAAGTGACATGAAAAGAGAAAGAAAAAGACATGAACAGTGACACCGGGACATGGAAGTTTCTCTCACAATTTAGGGGTGCTCATGCATCTCACACGTTTTATGTATCAACGTTTACCTAACAGACACAGAAAAAAACACCGCCAAAATAGAGAGAGAGACTCTGAGGTTTGGTTGGCGGTGCAAGTCGCATGTGGTCGTAGTGGATCCCAGCCCATGCAAAAATAGCTTAAGGGCTAAGGCAACAGCACATTCAATCTAGTAATAATTTAACAATACACCAAATTAATCACACTTAAAAATTACAACGACCATAATAAATTTGTAATTAAATAATTTCCAATTCCATTTGCAGTGGTACGAACAAATTTAGACAAATAATTTTATTTTAATTTTTCAAATTAAAGCGATCAGAAGCCCTATCCATGATTTCACATTCCACCCATTACCAAGAAAACAAAACAAGTGAAAAAAGAAAAAAAGAAAAAGAAAAAGTATGGGCCGGCGGGACCCACTGGACCACCACCACCCATGTGACCGGATTCTTTAGTTTAGCGCGAAATTAGACCAATAAAAGCCTGTCTGTCCCACCTCCAACGTTCGAAACTTGTTTTATTTTCTTCGACTTAATAAAATACTCTAAAAAAAACATTCAATTTTTTATTCAAACAAATAAAATAAAAATAAAAATTGGAGCTCCGGTTTGCCACGTCAACTACCCGTTACTTTGTTGAGAGCTACGTGCGCTTTATTTCCGGAATTTTATTTTTCATCATTAATGAATCTGCGTTAAGGACGTTGAATTTTTTATTTTTTATTTAGACGTTAAGGACGTTGAATCAATAACACAAAATCCGCTTTTATTTCGCTCGCTGCTACGTCGCCGTTTCGATCTCCAAAATATTCTACCGACCACGTACGAGATTTGTTGGGGAGATTTTTGAAATCCAAAAAATGCAAAAATAAGAGGAAAAAAAGAAATCCCATTAAATAAAATAAAAGTAGAGAAACAAAGAAAATATAGTTCACAGTGAGAGACTCTCTCTCTGACTCTGAGTAACGAAACAAAACCCAGCCCGCAGATTTGCAGAGAGAAAGATCAAAAGAAGCAGCTTTAGGGTCTTCTGATAGCTTTTTGCAGAAGCCAACTTTCTCTTCCAACATCTCCTGCATTTAAGTTGATCTTCTCTGAAAACCTCTCCCTCTCTCTCTCTGTGTTGTTTATATAGCAATTCACATTTGGGCTTTCGCCATTGTTGTTGTTGAGCTTTTGCAGTGGTGCAAACCCACAAGTTTGATTCATATGTGAGTTGTTTTTCGGAAGAATCTGTGAAAAAGTTAATTTTGGATTTTTGGTTTCTGGGTTTTGAATTTTTTTAACTTTTTGTGCAGGTAAAGGAACAACCCAGAAGATATGTTCACTGAAGGTCTTGATAGGAGCGCCCTTCGTTGGGTTAGAGAGGTTTGCTTCACAAACTTGTTTACCACTTTCCTTTCCTCATTTGAGAAAAAATAATAAAAATTAAATAGACTTTAATTTGTACTATTTTTAGAGTGAGTGCTGTTTCTTGTTCTAGTGTTTTTATGATCTGGGTATGTGTTAACTTGCATGTGTTCTTTAAAGTTGACAACTTTGGTTTGAAATTTGACTTTATGGGTTTTGTTCTTAATCAGAAGGATGTTCCATTCTCGAGTTCTAATTTGAGACCTCGAATTGATCCGATTACACACATTCGTAGTGGTAGTGGCGGCAGGGGATTTGGACTGCCCCCACCGTCAAAATTTAGAAGTGGGCACTTGCCTTCCAATGCCATACCGGTTCGGACAATTCCAGCTGATGGGGATGAGAGTGGGTCTTCTGATAATGACAGAACCACTGATTCAGAAGACGGCATTTATGGAGGTAGATACTCACTGGATTCATCACCACAAGATGACAGGGTTCCCAGTGCTTCTGCTCATAGGTATGGGAAACCGTCGCAAGGGCAACCCCATTATGGCAGTGATTATACGTACTCAGATGTCAGTTCATCGATGGACACTGTTGTGGGGAGACATAAACCTGCGGCCGAGAAGTTGGTCAGGGGAACTGGGAAGTATCCAGTTGCAAGGAATGGTTACACTGAGGATGAGTCATCAGATTCGGCTGCAAGCTCAGAATATTCTACTTCACAAGCAGGAGGAAGCATCAACAGTGGGGTGCCACGTAACAGAGCTTATGTTTCAGAGGGATATGCCTCGAGCGTGCCTTCACAGAGGAACTTGGAAAGCTCTGCCAAAAAGGTTTGTGACTTTCTATTTGTTTAATTGTGCTTGGATTGTTGTTTGATGTCAAAAACACCATGCAATGAGGCTTTAGCGTTATGGTGACTAAACATTTGGTTTATATTAGTTCATAAATGTTGGATGTTATTTCCTATTTTCCCTCTACTTAAAAGGTTGGCACAGGTAAATTGTTGAGGAATAGTTTAATTCTTGTTGTAAGGACTTTCTATCTAACAAGCTGGCATTTTCTTTTACATCAATGTCATAAATAATGGTTTACTCTGGTACTGATGCATAAATCTGTTGATTTTGCAGAATTTTAATTCCACAAACCTGCAGACTGAAAAGTTATCCGATGATGATGTTCCTAGTGCACCACCTTTTTGTGGTGCAACTCAGGAAATTAAACAGGACGATGAGATAAGTCCATCTAGAGTACATAGGACACCACATGCAACCGCTTCATCTGAGTTCAAAACAACCCCTGGTAGAAAGCAGGAGGGCAATATTGAAAATGGCAATCTTGGCCAGTTTGTAAGGTCTGTATACTATTTAAATACTTCTCTTTGGGAAAATGTGATGCAATGTGCTTATGTTGGAAAGTGACATGACACTTGTGGCTTCACAAACATAAATATTTGAGGCATGCTACTCTGGTTTCTATGTTTTTTTAACTAATGAATACACATTTGTCATATATATGTATAAATTTGGTTCAGCTTACGTTAATCTCTGTTCACAGAACTACCACTAGTTCCGAAGCTGCTGTGCCATCATGTCCTGCTCGCCTCCCCACCTTTTATGCAAGGTATCTGTAACCAACACAACATAATTGTACATGCTTTTTTATGTTGTGTACAAACCTTTTGTTCTGCCATCTAAACTTTTATTAACTGTGCATGTGCCATTTGCAATTCAATACTAGTGCTCTAGGGTCATGGCATGCTGTTATTGCATATGATGCATGTGTGCGTTTGTGCCTTCATGCTTGGGCAATGGAATGCATGGAAGCTCCCATGTTTTTGGAAAATGAATGTGCTCTACTACGCGATTCATTTAGGTGAGTTCACGCTCTTCATCACCTTATTCGTCTATCTTGCCTTCAATTTAGTTGGATTTATGATATATTCTTGGACAGGACCATTTGCTGTTGCCAGTTTGGTGTTCAAATCTTTGCATAAATTCCTATTGTAAAGAAAGTTTTGTAAATCACTGCACTAGGTCATTCAGTGCTATCCCTGATTTCTTTCTTAGCCAATTTTGTTTATTGTAAAAAAAGAACAAAAGAAAAAAAGAAAATTTCTTGCTTAAGCTAGGTTTATGATATATAAAAATAGTATAATTGAGTTTGTTGCTGCAAATTTATAGTTTGGCTAAAACGAAAGTTGAAAAGTTAGGTAATGCTAGGTTTTCAGATAACAAATTTGAACCTTATGGGAGTTCAATCCTGTTGAAAATGTTTTGATCTGACTAGCTAGTAGTATTTAGGGCTGAAATTTTGACAACAATGTCTGCATGATATAAAAGCTTCTGACTTTTATCTACTCCATTATTACACGAACTCCTAATCTTGTTAAAACCCTGTTCTCAAAACTGTAGTTTACGACAAGTACTTTTACAATCAGAGGAAGAATTGTTGTCAAAGCAGACTTCAGAGCTTGCCGGTGAGAAAGCTGCTCCAAAACCCAAGAAAATTGTTGGCAAGATGAAAGTGCAAGGTAGCATTTCTCGCCTATTTATAAAGTCTTACTGTTTAAGTAAGTGCTTGGTTACAGGATAATCCTGAATTCTTTTTCATTTTGCAGTGCGTAGAATGAAACCGGGCCTGGACCCACCCACTGGCTGTAGTATTTCATCTCTAAGGCCACCAGTAATCAAACTGGAATCCATTCGATATCGTCTCTCCAGCTTCCAGTCTACACTCGCTTCTGGATGGCAAGCCCTTCGAAGGATTCGAGTTGTACCTCGTGTACCTGCAAATGGTTCTTTTTCACGTCAAAGCTTGGCATATGTGCATGCTGGTACTCAGTATATAAAACAGGTGTCTGGACTCTTGAAAACTGGTGTAACAAGTCTGCGGGAGAGTTCGTCCTCATATGAAGTTGTGCATGGTATGAGAATGGCAAATTTCATGCTCTCTCTCACTGTGTATATCTAGATTATTATATGCTTCTTTTGTCATTAAATCATTGAGTTATTTAATACATATATATCTTCCAAAATGATGAAAATTTATGGGCTGCTCATGAGGCACCTTTATTTCTTTTTGCTTGCATGTTACAAGTTGCTGATATATACTGCTATGTTTGTAATGTGTAAAGTTTCATTCTCTTCAAATGTTTTTCATGAGTTACTTGAAGTTTTAACCCTCACTCTTATTGGCATCAGAAACATACTCTTGCTTGTTAAGACTGAAAAGTTCAACTGAAGAAGAGGCTGTCAGGATGCAACCTGGATCTGGTGAAACTCATGTCTTGTATGTTCCCTTGTCCCTACTCTTTTGAACTATATCTGCTGGAAAAAGGTACTGACAACTCGTACAGCTTTCCAGATAGTTTGGGAGATGATTTAATAGTTGAAGTACTTGATTCAAAGGGAAAACATTTCGGAAGAGTCCTTGTTCAAGTGGCAACTATTGCTGATGACCCGGTAAGACTTTCTTGATCCTGATTGTAGCTATAAGGATAAATTAAAATGATAGTGGCTCTGGTAGAAAGGCTCATCTCAACGTTGACTGCAGGCTGACAAGCAACGCTGGTTCAATGTCTATTGTGAACCTGAACATGAGCTTGTGGGGAAGATACAGCTTTCTGTATATTATTCAACGAGTTCAGATGACAATCCCAAGGTGTGCTTTTGTTACTTTAGGAGCCTTAAAATATATCATCCTTGTTTTTTAAGTGTTTTTCGTTGTTTCATAATTGAGTTAGACTTTTGTAATCTAAATCAATGGTAAAACTTGTGTAAAAAAAAAAATTATCATACAAGGTTACATAACAACCGTATCTTGATGGTTCAAGATAGTGGGCAGAATAGATGAAGACGTGATCTTGCAATTACTTTTCATTATCTTGTTTTGGGCCCCTAGGTATTCATTTATATTTAGGCTTGTGTGACAGGACATTAAAAACAGCATCTCTTCAATTCTCTTTTCAACTGGTAGCTATGTTTTGTGGTATGAGCTCAGGGTTTTCATCCAATAACAAAATATGCTAACACATACCCTCACTAAATATTGTGCTGCTGGAATCTTCTAGGAATGATAATAGTTTGAATATTTTCTTGAGCAATTTCTAGGACTATTCATCATTAATGTATGTAATCCCCCACTCCCCTCCCAGTCTTGGGCCCAAAATGGAAAAAAGAAAAAAGAGAAAAGGGGAAGAAAGTATAGAGGTTTCTTTATTGTTTGGACATAATAATAATATTGTGTAAAGAATGATCCTTATTATATTACCTGAATGTGGGAATCCGGATACTTCATTTTATACAATGTATTCAAACTAGATTTATGATATTATTTGTTTTTGCGTTCAGTGTGGCTCTGTTGCAGAAACGGTTGCATATGACCTAGTTTTAGAAGTTGCTATGAAGGTTCAAAATTTTCAACAAAGGAATCTATTGTTGCATGGTCCTTGGAAATGGCTTTTAACAGAGTTTGCATCATATTATGGTGTTTCTGATGTATACACCAAGCTGAGGTAATGGAGTGTTGTTGGGTTGATTGCTTGTTCCTGTTAAAATAATATGGCCATGTACTGTCAGTATTATAAGTTGCTCCTTTTTGTTCACTGATTCCATATCTGGAATTTCGATAGATATCTCTCTTATGTTATGGACGTAGCTACACCAACAGCTGATTGCCTCAACTTGGTCTACGATTTGCTAAAGCCTGTTTTGATGAAAGGTCACCATAAGAGCATGTTGAGTCACCAAGAGGTACAATTGCACTTGTCTTCAAGCATGTATCGTTGTTGCTTCTTTTGATATTGATTTTTATGTTTTGACTAGCTTATGCAGGTTTGGCTTGCTTTTTGTTTTTGTTTTTGTTTTTTCATTCTACTTGTCATTCTCTTCTAACAGAATGTCTAATACTTTTGGTTGTCACAGAACCGAATCTTAGGAGAAACTAAGGTTCAAATTCAACAGATTCTTGCTCTAGCTTTTGAGAATTACAAGTCCTTGGATGAGTCATCGCTTTCAGGTATTTTGGATGTTTTTCGACCTGCAACTGGGCATGCTGCACCTGCATTGGAGCCTGCTGTGAAACTTTACACGCTCCTTCACGATATCTTGTCTCCAGAGGCTCAGACTGCTTTATGCCACCATTTCCAGGTTTGAGAAACTTTCAGTTTATTTAACTATTATTTCTGTAGCTGATATATCTATTTGCTTCTCATAGAGGTAGTGTGACTTGCCAGGTTGCCGCGAGAAAAAGATCAAGAAGGCACTTGGCTGAGACAGATGAATATGTTACCAACAACAGTGATGGAACTTTGATTGATATTTTGAGTATGACGACAGCGTACCAGAAAATGAAATCCTTGTGCCTTAACATTAGGAATGAAATCCTCACTGATATTGAGATCCATAATCAGCATATACTCCCCAGGTATGTACTTAAAACCGTCAAGTTGTACTTTCAAATATGGTAATTATGCCGTAAAATTATTTGTCATTAGAGCCGTATCATTTTTTTTATGCTTTTCTTAATTTTTGAACAAGTAGGTTGATCTTATTTTAGCAAAATGATGTTCCTAAAAAGATATTAGCAAAATGATAAAAATCTGTCGTGAATATTGTAGGCTTCATTTGTGGATAACAGTATTGTAAGCCTACATGAATTCATATTTTGACATTGGATATTGAATTTGTGTTGCCACTTGATTTTTTTAGTATATGATACAATTTATGTTGAACTATCATTAGCATGAATAATGATTTCATGTGCATATATGCTCTGAACCATTGCAGTTATGAACCACTGAGGACAATCTCCTACTGTAGTGAACTTTGCCATATCTGCATAATTTCCTTGCCATAGTTAAATGCCTGCTTTCTGTTATCTGTTCCAAAACATGTAGGTTGGAATCGTTACTTCAGGTCATCCTTTATGTTCCCAGATTGCTTATCGCACAGCCTTTTCCTGGTGGTTTGTCCGGCTGTCTGACGTTGGATTGATAAGATTCTAATGTTTTAACTTTCATTGAACAGTTTCATAGACCTCCCACATCTGTCGTCATCAATATACAGCACAGAGCTGTGCAGTAGATTGCGTGCTTTCCTCATTGCATATCCCCCAACAGGTCCTTCACCTCCTGTAGCAGACCTTGTTATAGCCACAGCAGATTTTCAAAGGGACCTTGCGAGCTGGCACATCAGGTAATATCAATTTTGTTGCTACTACTATTATTAAAACTTTATAATAATACTATGTTGGCATGGTTCTAACACATTTTTTATTATCTCAGTTATGTTAAAGGTGGAGTTGATGCAAAAGAATTGTTCCACCTATACATTATGCTGTGGATTCAAAATAAACGTGGTTCTTTGCTTGAAGCATGCAAACTAGACAAGGTAAGTGTTATATATATAATCCTTAAGCATGGATACTTTTGGATTCTATGGAGATAAAACAATTTGATTACGCTAATGTATCACAAATGAGTCTGTATTCTATTTTGTGGGTGGTCATTAACATTTTTACCCCCACCATTTTGGAGGACTATGTTAAAGGATGCTTTTGAAAGATTTCTGTAATTATGTAAATTGGTGTACGTTTTAACGTTGCAGTTAAAAAAGGCATCTAAATGTTATGCACTTGCAGGTAAAATGGTCAGGAGTTAGGACACAACATTCCACGACTCCTTTTGTGGATGAAATGTATGATCGTCTGAAAGAGACTTTGAGTGACTATGAGATCATCATTTGCCGGTGGCCTGAATATGCCTGCATTCTGGAGAATGTAAGTCAGATTCCTTGTGTCTCAAAATCTTTATAATCTACTTTCGTATTTTTCATCACCATCATCCATTATGATCCCAACAATTTATTGTTCGTCCGCACATTTCTATATTCAGAGCTATTCATTTAGCTTATCAGAAATAGGAAAATGCTAGTTAGTCTTATCTTACAACAGTGTTGTTCGTCCGCACATTTCTATATTCAGTTCATAATAAATAATCTTTTCCTTAATTTCTTAAGTTTTGTCATGTTTTTACTTTTCTTGTTTTAATTTAAAGAGTGAACTTCTTAAACTTGTTTGATAATTTCAACTGTGTTTCTATGAAAGGCTGTTGCTGATGTTGAGAAGGCGATACTAGAATCTCTAGACAAGCAGTATGCAGATATCCTGGCACCATTGAAGGAAAATTTGACACCCAAGAAATTTGGCCTCAAGTATGTTCAAAAACTTGCCAAAAGGTCTGTGAGCTCTTATACCGTCCCTGAAGAGGTTAGTTGACTTTTCCAAATTTTTGGGTTAGATTGAAATATGATTGTTTGTATTTTGAAATTCGATAATTGCATTTCAGTTGGGAATTCTGTTAAATTCCTTAAAGAGAATGCTTGATGTCCTTCGGCCCCAAATAGAAGTTCAGTTCAAATCATGGGGTTCCTGCATCCCTGATGGTGGAAACACAGTTGCTGGAGAGCGTCTCAGTGAAGTTACTGTGATGTTGAGAGCCAAGTTTAAAAATTACCTACAAGCAGTTGTGGAAAAACTTGCAGAGAATGTGAGTATCATTCTGGTTTGGTGCATTTCTGTTTGAAGTTGTGTGAAAGTGTTGTAAAATTATGTTTGGAGAAAAAATAATTGATCTGGAGATCATCAAAAACTGTCAGTCTTGTTGAGGGAATACATTAACTGTCAATCTTTCACGAAATAATTAATTGATCTGGAGATCTTCTAAATATAAATAGATGCATCTGCAGGGACAACGTGTTTGCTAGGGATAATAGTTTTGTTGAGTGGATATATAATATAAACTGCCAATCTTTCATAATGTACAGAACGCCTTATTTGTCCTTAAAGAATAATAAAAGCCAGGTAAGGAGGTCTATCTCATACAGTAGTGTGTATTTATGCATGTTCTGTGTGCGTTTATGAGACTAGATTCTAGTGTATAAAGATCTCAGTTGCTGGTACATTAGTGTGTAAAGAGCTGAATAACTGGTCCTCTTGGCCAAGAAAAAGAATTACTTGGCCAAGCAAAAGAATATGGATGCTTTAAAATTTAGTTATTTGGTAAAGGGCCACTGATTTTCATCTTTTATTCCAGACAAAGTTGCAGAGTTCTACAAAAATGAAGAAGATTCTCCAAGATTCAAAAGAAACTGTGGTAGAATCTGATGTGAGAAGTAGAATGCAGCTTTTGAAAGACCAGCTGGCAAATACAGTCAATCACTTACATACAGTGTTTGGGACTCACGTCTTCATTGCAATTTGTCGCGGTTATTGGGATAGAATGGGACAAGTAAGTTCTTCAATCTAGTCTTTCAAGAATCCAGACAATGGGCTCCCGGCTGATGGCTTTTCTTATCTAATGGAACCCTTTTCTGTTACAGGATGTGCTAAGTTTCTTAGAGAACAGAAAAGAAAATAGATCATGGTATAAGGGTTCACGAATTGCTGTCTCTGTAAGTAGTGGCTGAACCCCTTCAACCTCCCACCTTTTTTTCTTCTGGTTATGGTAGTAGTTTCCCTTCTAATTGCACGCCTTTCTTCGGGTTTCAGATTCTAGACGACACTTTTGCATCACAGATGCAGCAGTTGTTGGGGAATGCACTGCAGGAGAAGGACCTGGAGCCTCCTCGATCCATCATGGAAGTCCGATCAATGCTTTGCAAGGATGCTGCCAATCACAAGGACAACACCTATTACTTTTAGGTGCTTGTTGTGTTAAATGAGTGAAGAGGACATGAAATGCATCATCAAGAAAGGTGAATGCTGAACAAGTTGGGGAATGAAGGTGCTGAAAGATCAGCTTTTCAGCCTGCATGTTCATCAACACCATATTGCTTTAGTTGTCAATGTGTATAAGCCGGTTGCTGCTAATTTTGTAGAGGGAGCAAGCAACTCGGCTGCTCCCGAGTCACAATTCTGTTATGTTCACATTTATTACTCAAGATATAGGTACTGCAAAATTGATTCACATTTTTTTGTAATTGGCATAATAGTTTTGCTTTAAGCAGTTTTGTACAACTCTTTTGAATGTGCCGTGATCTCACGCACCAAAAATATTAGATGGTCCACTTTCACAGAGATTATATTATTTAACCCTTCATGCGATGCATCTATTAAAAAATTATATATATTCTTTCATTTGCGCTACCGATCACCTTGAATTCACTTTTGAGCTTATCACTATAATTTCAATGTATAGAACCTTAAACTGTTGACCCAAAAAAAAAAAAACCAACCCTTACACGAATGGTTTGAAGTTAAATCTTAAACTGATAATTATGTCAGAAAACATCAAAGTCGTAAATTGGCTTTCTTTCATTGGCTATGTTAGGATGCCAATTAATAGTTAATAGTATTGGCTCGACAAAGCTGGATCAAGAACCTGAAAATAGCAATAGACACACTTAGGTCAACTGCAATTACAGATTTAGCCAATCACCAGCCACTGACACTTAGGTCACCAGGGCAGGGAAGAAAAATTCTGTTTATTGAAGAGAAGTTCCAGAATCAGATTGGATCCGAAGCTCCCATAGCATAACAGCTGAAGCACATATTAGCACAACGGTTTAAAAGAAGGGGCTTCACAACTTAAACGGAGCCCTACAATCCTATAGTGAATGACTGAATTCAAGCTTTCATAAAAACTTGACCTACAAAACCTGGTGAACTTGTGAGTGTCCAGATACATGAACAGCAGAAAACTCCAAGCCGCACTTACATTACTTGTATCTCACTTTGTCGAATATGCTCAAAAGAGCTTATACGAAGACGAAGTCATGCATTATAGACATTTCAACTATAACTCACTCCTTCACCTCTTACAACCTCACCGATGTGGTAAGCTTTATAAGCTCCATTTCCATCCTCAAGTATCCTGTGGGATGCCTCTTTACTCACAACAAGAACCATGCCAATACCCATGTTAAATGTTCGCATCATCTCAGCTTCTTCTATTCTTCCTGCCTAGTGTTAGAAATAGGTAAAATCAGAAAACAACTACAATCCATAATTTCAAGATGCCTCCTAAAGGACATTCATTGAATATGAAAATTTATAAATTTAAAATTGGGATTCTGAATGAAAAATATTTTTACCTCTTGGATCCATTTGAAAACAGGTAGGATTTCCCAGGAACCGTTATAGATGACAGCTCCTAGGCCCTTTGGAAACACTCGAGGTATATTGTCTGTGAAACCACCCCCTGTGATGTGGGCTACCCCCTTTACACCTCCCTTGCTGATAATTTCAAGCACCTGTTTTTGGTGCAGGGAAAAATAAGGAGGGGAGCATTTTCAGCAAACACAAGATAATGAGCATATGCACAAGACAAGGAGATTGGGAAGCAGGATTTAATGTTGACCTGCTTAACGTATATCACGGTTGGGGCCATCAAAGCTTCACCTAATGTAATAGCTTCACCAGGTAGTTGGTCCTTCAGAGATAGCCCACTATGAGCCAGTACCCTGTCAAGATATACCAATAGGAATTTTGTCATGAGTTTCTAAAAGGTCAGACTGCAAGGAACATTCTTCAAGTTAACTGCATCTATTGCAAATAGTATATAATGTTTTCTAAGCAGCACCAACCTTCTTACAAGAGAGAAACCATTAGAATGAACCCCACTGGATGGTAGGCCAATGAGGACATCCCCAGCCACAATGTTTTTCCCATCAATCACTGAATCCTTTTTCACAATTCCAACCGCAAAACCACTGAGGTCATACTCTCCGTCTGCGTAAAAATCTGGCATCTCTGCAGTCTGACGTAATATATGCAATTCAGTGAGACCTACCTTATCAAAATATGTACAACATGTGTGTGCAAAAAATAAAAGCAAAGACTATATTTAAACAATTAACCGCAAGAATACACGCTTGATGTATGTCTTCTCCAGATCACAGGACAATGGCAATTCACAAAACAACAAAATCATTTTAGAATACCTCTCCACCTAAAAGAGTACAGTCAGATTGTTGGCAGCCATCGACAATACCTTTTACAACCTAGAAACAATAAAACAAAATTTCAAAAAGCTTCAATTAGTGGTATGAATTTACGCAATCAAAGCAACTTTTAGGCACACTGCGACCTCTACCTTTTCAGCAAGATCAACATCAAGCCGGCTAGTAGCAAAATAATCAAGGAAAAATAGCGGCTTTGCTCCAGAAGTAACAATATCATTGACACTCATAGCAACCTGGGAGTTGAAATTGATCAGAAGAGCAATTTTGATTTATTTATTTAATGACACATTTGAACCACATGAAGTTTCACTTGAAACATTAGCATTACCAAATCAATACCAATGGTTTCATGAATTCCAGTATCAAATGCAAGTTTAAGTTTTGTTCCAACACCATCTGTACCAGCAACAAGATATGAATCACCTGTTCACCAAAAAACTCCATCAGCCCAAGTAAACAAAATTCAAACAAACAGAGCACAACCCAAAATGGGTAACACAAAAACACAATCAGCTAACAATATATTCAATACCAAGAGGGTAAAGACCCCCAAAGCCTCCAATCCCAGGAGCCATTTTGGCAATTCGTCGAACAAGTTCTGAGCCAGCATCTATATCAACACCAGCATCCTTATACGTCAAACCACCATTTCCACTTGCACTTTCTCCGGACTCGTTCTTCGACAGTGAAAATATGCGTCTGCTGCGGGAAAATTCAGTTGATGGAGCCATAGATAGGCCGGAGAAGGTGTTGGAGAGAGACCCAGATGAGAGTCTGCATAGCTGGGTTTGGCTGGAGTTGGGTTTGGAATAAGAGGGTCTGAGGGAAGAAGCAAAGCAACGAGAGAGCTCTGTGTTTGGGTTGACGGAGGTGACCATGGCAGCAAGTGAAAGAGGCCCTGAGGCAGTGTGTCACTGACTTGCTGCTGGGTTTTGCCGGAGAGTGACGGAGCTGAGAAAGAGAGAGAAAGGGGCGGGAATAAAGTAGGAAGCTAGGGTTTTTGTTTATGTAAATATGTTGGGAGTGCTTACTTAGTTAGGATTTTGGTTCCTTATTTCATTAGAATTTTGGTTAATTACCAATTATTATTTAGTCTTATTGTAATAGATATTTACTTCCTATTATAATTTAGATATATTTCATATTTTATTTAGGGTTAATACATTTTTGTATTTGTATAAATACCTACATATTGAAGAAGAATAATAACATGAGCATATCAGAGCATATCTGAATATTTGCCCAACTTTATTTGACATGGTATCGTAAATTGTGTTGCTAATTTTTTTTTTGGGGGTCGGATTGTGTTGCTATTTGAGCGAAACAACTGAGCCCCACTGGCATACAACCATACTATATTGGGTGCAGGGGAATTGAACCTAGAATAATTATTTTCCGACTAAAAACAGAATAAATAATTATTACATATGAATTTTTAATACCAAATCAATACTGATGGGGGAGAGATAGAACTTGATATTCTAACCTTTAAAATATTGTTTTATTTATTTATTTATTTTACATATGAATTTGTTGGCATTTGCAATTGTTTTTTTTTTCCGTCATGACACTGGAAAAAGGCACCTAAGCTGTTCATCGATTTTGAACTAATTCATTTTAGGGATAATTCAAACGGGTCCAATTGAAGTTTTTGGTTTTTACACACAAGAAAAAGGTACCTTTATTTTTGTTTTTTCTGTTAATCTGCTGCATATAATATTGCTGAACAAAGATTTGTATGCATTGCTTGAATAAGAGAAGTCTATTCTCAAACCAAAGTCGACAGAATTCCAAATCAAATGCCAACATGTTTGCAGAAACGTAGATTGAGGACATTTAGATGCTTTATGAGGTTTAACTTAAATGGTATCTTTCGTTTGAATTTCTTCTACATGTGAGAGAGTGGATGCAAAACAAATTTTTTTGAATCTTGTTATGACAAAGTGGCTAAAAGTGATCTGAAGTTCAAGTTCTTGCAAACATGCATCCGGTGCTCGCCAGTATTGTTGAAATTAAACTGCAGTCATGAGGGAACGAAAGCATTTCGATGCTATGTTACATAAATTTGAATTGCACTCTCTAACCAGAAGACAATATTTACAAGATTAAATTTGATCAAGGAATCAAGCCATCTGTAGCAGGAAAAGAATGCCAGTAATGTTACAGAATTTTGGGAACACGGACGAAGCAGAGTCAGCAGTTCAAAGCACCAAATACAAGAAGCAAATTCTGAGCACTAAAAACCCTATCCCCAGCAACAAACACAAATTAGAGAAGCTTTGATATAACTTGACAAGATGTCCAGAAGGCTTTCGTGGCAGCCCTTATTATTACAGGGTTTTGGTATATCCTGAAAATAATGAAAACATTAGAGGTCAAAGTACAGTATAAATGTAAATTAAGACTAAGACATACATGAATTCTAATTATAAATTCGGCAAGCAACATTACTAGATTACGTTAGTGATCAAAGACACGCTGCACAATGATGGCGGGAAACTTTAAAACCATCAGATTAGGTAACATTAGATTTAAGTATCCTACCCGATGGCGGTTGCCCCCCATGATGCTACATTATAAATAACTTTGCTTCCATCCCAAGCCTTTCGAAGTTTTCCCTTCTTCTTTCTCACGGAGAATGTTTTGCTAAGGGCTACATAAGAAATAGGAAATGTAAGATTCCATTCCTAAAATGTGGGAAACAAACTTGGTCAAATAAAGCACAAAATGCATACAGAATAGATTTGAAGTTCAGAGAATTTTTCAAGTTCTCTTCAAACTTAGGAAGCAACACAAAAACAAGTATCAAACTCACCATCCTGAAGTTGATTAGGGGTCAATTCCTGAAAATCACACAGCGATCAATTAATGAGTCAATACATCATATCTACTACATAATCCAATTTGGTGTATAAACCATGCTCAAACAACAAGAAAGGCCGCATATGCACAATCTGTTCAAATTGTTTGACAATCATAGAAAGAAATTGTCGACATGTCAACTAGACATGTTAAAAATGCCAACACTAGTGCTAATGTGTTATGGTTCATCACAATAAATTCAATGGTTCCACCTCTTAATCTACTTGCATTGCTCTGCGCAGTTAATGATAGATGTAAATACTGGGAGCAAGAGAAGATGCTAAACTACGAATGCAGTGAAAGCCTGATCTCTTAAGGTCTGTCATGATCATTTGGTCATACATCAAATACCTACCTTATAAAAGAATACCAA